ATAATAATAATAATAATAATAATAATAGTAATAATAATAATAATAATAATAATAATAATAATAATAATAATAATAATAACAATAATAATAATCTAATATTTTTCATTTCCAAGTGCAATGAAACTAATTTCCTGTACTTCTGAAACAATTATTCCACTCCTTACTCAGATATTCCCATAAATAAACTCAATTTATTTATTAACGTCCTCCTAACACTCAACTGTTTTTACCATAATCAGATAGTATTTTCTAGAAATACTTCGTTATTTTCCCATCTTTCTTCAAATTTACAACAACATTTGATAATAGAGATTTAAACAGCCTAACACTCCAAAGTTTCAAATGCTTTTCAATTCGCCTTTTCCTACAGAACTATAATTTCATGAAAAACTTTACGCCAGATGAACATAATTTACGGGACAAACTCAATTTTGAATAAAAGATTCGAAAACTAATTAGTATTTGAACTGAACCTGCAACAATGGAGCTAATTTTGTTGCCTCCAAGATCAAGTACTTCAAGACGATCCAAATCTTTGAACATAACAGGTTCGATGCGTTTGATAATGTTATTCCGCAACTGCAGCACTTGTAACCTTCGGCCTATTTTACTAAATGCACCGGGCCGAAACAGACTTAATCCTGATCTCTCTATAGATAAAATCCGAGGACGAACCTGAAATCACTCAAAAAATTAAATATAACGTACATTCCAAACAAAAAATAAGATAAGTTAAATCACTCTTGTATTTTTCGAACCGAATGAAAGTTATATGAAGAATTAGCAATAAAAAGGGTCATAACTATACCGTTTAATACCATCTGAATACAAATCCTTAATAACTCTGAATATTGATGCTTCTCACTCTCAAAAATCACCAATAAAACCTATATATGTAAGAATGATAAAGTATGAATCTCCTAAACATATCATTTTACATTTCCATACGCCCCTGATATATTCCAATCACTTAGTAACTTTTTTTGTAATAATAACATTTAGTAAGGTTGTCCGGCTACTGAGTCAATGATTAGAGAGTAACTGTGAAATCTCAAATGACCGAAGTATAAAAAATCCCGAAATTCATATCCGGATGTCATTGGGAAGATTCCATTTGTTGCACAAAATATCTAAATATCTGTGAATGTTACCTGAGCAAACATATCAGCTGGAATAATATTGACTAATGAATCCCAAATCCACAGTTTGGATACCATCGTTTCGTTAAGCGCATTTAAAGCACTGAATACCTGTGGCATTTTTTGCCTTGTACAACCGATCCAAAGACCTTCCCTGCTTGATAATAATGATTCGCGCTCCTGTGAAGATACTGTCTCCGGAAAGCAGTGGCATGCTTCCTGAAAAAGAAATTATTAAATCAAAAATTATTTTTTAGAAAAATTATTAAATTATAATTTCGAGAAATTATTAAATTACACGTTATCAAGAAGGAACAAATAACATTTCCATTTACAAACATTTTCTTAACAACAAGCTTCATCCTCTCATTATCTTAACTATGAAAGCGAACAATTGACACAACTTTTATTAAAGTTTCACTCAAATGATAAATATGGATAATTTGATGTTTCAAATTTCACACGATTTCGAACCAAGGGATTCAAATTTCTGTGATTACAAAAAGAACAAAAGAGAGAAAATTTCAAAAATGAATTAAAAAAAATGCAAGCCAATAATTTTTAAGGCAATAAATTTCAAAGATTTCCGGATATCTTTCAGCAATCTCAATCGCAAGATATCGGTTGTGTAAATAGGTCCATAAAAAGAACCATCATTTCTTCCAATCACAACAAAAAATTGACGGAACATAAAAAATTTATGTTATTAGATAACACCTGGGTGGTCTACTTTTTTAATATGCGAATTAGATACGATCCTTTCATTTTCTTCAGGTTCATCTTTAGCTGTGTGACCAAATTACAGCTTTGGGGCCCATTTTAGTCCCCGTCTATGTATGGTTAACCTAATCAAGTGTATCGTTATAGCTAATCTGTCTTCCATTTTTTTCTTTTTTTATCCAAAAATAACCGAAAATCACGATAGTTGTATCCTAGGCCTTCTGACAACTTGAAAGATTCATAAAACCATCTTTGTTGATAGCTATCAAATAATCCTCGATTTAGCCACTTTACTCATAAACTCGATTTCATGGATTTTAAAA